TATTTCGAATCTATTTTATATTAAGTATTAATCGTAAGGGCATTCTTTAGAATAATATTGCGTCAAGATACATCGTTGTAATAATTGAGTGCTGGTTCCTGTTTGGAAGAAACTTTTGAGCATTACTGTCGCGAAACAACTACCTTAAGACTGTCTTAGTCGTAAACGTAAGGTGTGGCAGAGAAAAACATAAGTCCTATACAAGCCTTTCACGACTTACGTTTTACTCTGCCTTGCTATACGTCTACGACTAAGACAGTCTTGAGCGTTCACGGATCGTTCTCTGCCATTAGCCTAAATCTCGCGAGAAATCTCCAGCCGGAATCATTCGTGGATCTTCGGGCGCCGCACGTATACCGAGCTTCCACTTTAATTTGCATCTCCTCGCGCGTGTAGAAATACCCAAGTTAAAATGACACGGAATATTATTTTATTTAAAGTATAATCATATAATTTCTAACTCGTTTGACTGTCGCCGCGTAAATGATTTTTTGCGTACGGCGTGACCTATTGTTTCGCCGAGCGCCGTAGACCGAGCGCGGATTCCTATAGAAATGACGTAGCGCCGTAAACACCTCGGCCGTAAACAGTCCCGTCTCATTGTGCGTAATCATTCGGCGCGGCACAGTCGAGCAAAGAGGATCTTCCGCGTGTCGCTCCTCGCTACGCGGTCATTTCCTACGAGAGTTATAAACATTTATCAATCACGTTTAATTAATTGTCGCGATCCGTAATCTTAGCGCTGATTTCTGCGGTGATTTGTCGAGAAGAATATCACTCGTAATTCGAAGTAGAAATGCCGGAAGGAAATTACATATATAAATTATTAGTTTTGATATATCCACGAGCGTTAATACTTTTTGTAACGATCGAACTCGGATGAATTTCACGTCGTGTTTTAAATAGCAAACCTAAGTTACGTTCACTCGATATTACTGTTTTTAAATATACACGTAATTACACGATTTTTTGTCGATAATCCCCTCCTCGGGTACTACCTTGCAGCGGTGGAGGGGCTTAAGTACCCCGAAGAGTTACTCTCTTAAAATCAATCAGTGCATTATCACTGAATCAGTGAATATTCACTGTATTTAGTGATAATCCATTGATTGATTTTAGAGAGTACATACTCGAAAGACGGGACAACCGAAGGTACCCATTGCACTATTTAGGCCCGATTTTTCAGTTTCTGATAAACTGTTGACCACAGTTTAATCGATTCTCTGTCTCTTCTTATTGTTAGATAATAATATAGAAAAGAACAGAGAGAGTCGAGTAACTTATTAACAGTTAACCAGAAAATGACAAATCAGGCCTAATACTCTCTGAAAGTTAATCGGTGGATTATTACTAAAAATAATGAATCGATTCAATGTTTTCAGTGATAATCCACCGATTGACTTTTAGAGAGCACATTTGTTTATTTCATTTACTAATTGATTTTGTTCATTTTTCTGATTTCAGCACTAACTTTCGAGGACTATTGCTCGATTAATTTCGCCACTTAAAACGAATCGCAACCGCGCGCGGCGATTCGTCGTGTCGTGTCGCGTTCGGGAGTGCCGTAAAAAGTAATCGCATTTAAAGACATTTCAAAGCCTGTTTGAAAGATAAGTGCTCCTTAAATGTCCGTTCCTGTGGATGACCACACTTCCGAGATTCGGCAGTTGTTGGGAATCCATTGGAACGCTCTTGATTTGACGGAACTCAGTACTTTCACATGGGCTTTGTAACCGGGAGTGTAGAATCGCGCGAACGATCTTAGTGTTTTCGCGAGTGTGCCAGAAGACAACCTGAGTGGAGGAGGAGGCCTGGGGCAGGCATCAGGCACCGGCGGAGCAACTTTAGGGTAAATATTTTTTATTTCGTATAAAATTAATCTTTCTTTTATTTATTTTCAACAATTAAAAAATTATTTTCTTTAAGACTGGTTTTCTTGAATACTTTTTTAATGTGAATTTTATTATTTTATGTTACAGATTCATCGTAGTTAAACTCCGCTGCTGCGCATCGGGTCGGTAAGTCAAAAAATTAATCTTAATATATTTCACAATTTTAAACTTTAATTAGACATATGATAAGAATGTAACATGGAAGCATACATAAAAACAATTAACACTGATAAAGTAAACTTATTTGTATTATAAATATCTTAATATATTTGGTAAGATAATGATAAATTATTTTTCCGACTAATCGCGCATATAATAAATAAATATCTAAATAAATCGATAAATCTTACATTCGAAAATTACAAACTGACACATCCGATGTCAGAGAGTACACAGCTTGTATACGCGAGTACACATAAAAGCTAACAAAGTAAACTCGCAGCTTAATAATTAGTATTCCGTACAACTGCGTAGAAACTGCCTCGCTGTATCTTACGAATGCACAATTCGTGATTGTTTATTATAAACATAATACACCTTAATAGTCGATTCTATAAAGTTTATAACTTTCCTAAAATATTAAAATATTAATACATTTGAATATTAATGTATTAAGATATTAGCCCAAAAGTAATATCCTTAAGGACTCGCCGAGACTACCGAATAAAATTTTTAACGATATTAAAATGTCATTAAAGATAATATTAACCATTATTTTTTTGAACAATGGTTTCTGCTAAATTAATAGGCGTCATCTGTCAATCCCACCATAAAGTTATTACCTACCATCATTTTTAGCACTTGGAAAAGCTCCCCATTACTTATATAACCATCGTTATCCATATCATAAATTCTAAATGCAAATCGCAATTTGCTCTCCTTGTCGCCCTGCGAGTTAACATCACGCATAAATTGTTCGCATACGAAGGCACGATAATTCACACAGAAAAGGGAGAGTTACCGTAACGCTGAACTGAGATACGCCTTGAATGAATTCTTTGAAATCTACTTCTCCGTTACCATCCGCGTCAAATATGTCGATGACACGCTGCACCAACGCGAATAGCTAAAGATTCGGGTAGGCAGGAACAGAGGGACATAACTCGATAAGAAGATAGATAAAATTGTAACTGCAATATAATAAAAATGAATATAGTATGTATGAATAAGTAATGTGATGTATACTAGGAATCACTGATGTCTTCTCATATGAATTTAAACATACGTGGAACACGTATACATTTTCCATGTATGCAAAATGCATAAATGTGTTGATATGTGCACAAATTTATGTGAGGAGATGACGACATCAATGATTTCTACTCCACAAAATAATTTGACTTCTTTCATTTGTCAAAATTCGGGTGGGTTATTCTTTTTTATATATTCTCGCATATGTGCGAGATTGAAAAGACCCCTATTAAATCCCAATCGCGTCGCAGTTTTAATAAGAGACTTTTAGGTCGAGATTTTAGGTCGTTTGTAAATTATTACAAACTGTATGATCGGTTGATTAATCAATTGATTTTTAAAACTTTACTTTTGCAAGTAATCATAACAATTTTGCTAACAAGTCGGTCTTTCATTTTTTGAGACCTTGTAGATTAATACTTTTGTAATAATTGTTCGTAATTTTCCGATACTGTTGGCTTTATCGCTGACGTTGCATCATGTTACTTGTAATGGCCGGGGTGTACTTATCGAAGCATTGCATAATGCATATTGCAATAATATAATTTACGGCCATTTAAATCTCATTAGGTAGTTGCAATATATGTAGGAATGTTCTCAGACTTTAGACTGTCTGCAATTGGTATTAACAAATTTCTTTACAAAAGATGATAACGTATAGTATACATATATGTATAGCATGGTGTGAACTGGTAAAAAAATTTTCATGCACGAGCACGCATAAATATATAGTACATTATATAGTATAAAATTGTACATGAATGCCCATACATATTTTTATATTGTATATTTCTATACATATAATTTTTTTTTCGAAGAAGACTAAAAAGTTGGAGTCCTTCAGTACCATTTATATGTATATTATCACTACCATTTATATTATCTATGGACACGTGCAGAAAAATTGTTACAAACACTTTAAACTATTATGTGTGTGAGGGGGGGGGGGGAGGGAGTGGGTGAGTCAGCAACATTAACAGAGTCAGTAAGAGAACGAATAAATACATTTTTTTCTTCTTCTTTCCTATTTTTCTTTAAAATAAATTTTTTTTAAATAAAATAAACTAAACATTTTATTTAAGGGATCGAGTGGGATCGATAGAACATATCCACATCACTTTTGTTATGTAAACTTTTATTTGACATAATGTGATCATGAAATAACTTTGCGTGCAATATGTTTCATAGTATTTGTAATTTGTGTATTGTATTTTATATTTTATTTGGTATATAGGAACCATGAAGTCACACTAGAACTATGGCACTTCGTGATATGTGTACTACATCTATTCTGTGTGATATAAAATTAATATTTAAATAATTAAGTATTAATATTAATTATAGCAATTAAACGAATATTTATTTCATAATGACATATGAATATATGAAGTTTAATGTGGTCGAGCAAAAGTTATTGATGAAATGATTCTACAAAGGGTTGCAGAACCGCTATCAAATTTGCGTGCTGCATTTGCACATGCATGAAAGTAATGTTGGGAGGACATAAGTATCTTGTAACATTAACAGAGTATGTTTTATATATATATATATATTTGTTATTATAAATTCTGGAGAAGAATAATATATATAATTTACACATTTCATATTTATAAAAAATATATTTAACAAAATATATTTTTTACAAAATGTACACATTCGTATATTTAATATTATTTTATCCGTATGTTATTTTGTGATTTAAGTAAATATATGTATATTAATTTTGAAATTATTTTATTGTTTTTGATTAAATAATAATTTTTGATACTTATTTTTATTTACGTATGCTGTAAAAAATATATTAACATAACGTTAATTAATAATGCTCAAAAACCTTATAACATAAGGGCAAGTACTCCAGATTTTACCAAGTTTGTTTTATAAATTTTCGAAATTTAGGTTACATGTAGGTAACAAGATTCTTATACATCTAATTAGCACGGTTCGACGCCAGAGTCAATGAAATCCGTTATACTAATTTGTGCATTTTCGGGTAAAATCCTGAAATTGAAAAATATATTTTATTATATTTATTTGTCTATATTTTAATATATACTAATGGAAAATAATGATAATAGCTAAAATAACGAAAATCGATATTATATTCTGACTTATTTTGTGCGTGTGTATGCATTTGTGCGCGCGTGCAATCTTAATATATTATGCAATATACAGGGTGTCCTGAAATTCGCGAATCAAAATACCATAGCAAGAATGTCGTCGAAAAAATAAATTAAAAAGTTATTTGCCATTTTTCGTTCCGAGCAGTACCGTTACGGACCCAGTTCTTGATCAGAACCCAATTCTTGATCAACTTATGACATAAATGATAATATTTAAGTATTTTTAATGAACCTTAATTTGAAACAATTTACAAATAAAAATTTATTATTTTACAATTCACATGTGAATTTAAAACTTATAAGCAAAACGTATTCTCCCAGACTCAGTTCAGGTGATCAAGAATTGCTCCCTTTGGATTTGTTACTTTGAAAGCTAATTTAGTACTTAATAATGAGAATATTCATATTTTTCTTACACGAAATCAAAACTTTAATATAGATTAAATCACAAAAATAATATCTTCGATTTAGTTAATTAAGCAATATACATTTTTGGCCTGAAAGTGAACCAGCTATGCTTAACTGATCAAGAACTGGGTCCGTAACGGTAGTTTTTTTAGATAAAAAGGTTCAAAACAGGCCAATCATTAATAGTTTAGTGCACTAACACTATCGACGCGCGACTCACGGACAGGTTTCCGTTCAACCGTAATGTATGATTGGCCTGTTTTGAACCTTTTTATCTAAAAAAACTACTGCTCGGAACGAAAAATGGCAAATAACTTTTTAATTTATTTTTTCGACGACATTCTTGCTATGGTATTTTGATTCGCGAATTTCAGGACACCCTGTATATATATTATAC